AGATGAGGAGGACTGTGATAATATTGTATTGACAATGATGATGCTAAAATACTTCCCACACTGCCACAGATACTTTCCACACTGTTACCCTCCCATCTCAAACCCTTACAATCAATCAAACATAATGATGATAATAATAATAATTGCAGGTTAATTCTGAGCAAGGAGATACTTCTCTTTCTACTCATTGTGGCAGCTACCTCCTGCTTCCAGTTTGACAAGAACAGGATCTAACACCTGCAGAAGGCCCATACCCAGACCAAGACATCATCTCCTATCCAGAGATGCCACAAATATGCTGCCTGTGTGGTTGACCTAAACCAGCCAACTTTGGGTCCCTGGATGTTGTGGGACTACAAGCCCCCTTCCGAGTTATCCCAGACCACTGGCTAGTGTGACTGATGGAACTGGGGTTGTGGTCTTACAACATCTTGGTATTCTGTGTTGGAGAAGGCTGCCCTAAATGGTGAGCCCCAGCTCTCTCTTCCATAGCCTAGCTCCACCAAGGCAGACCTACTCTCCCTTTTTTCCTCAGCCACTGTTACATTTCTAGCTCATTATGAGCTTAGCATAAATAGGCCTTGTGCTAGATACAGTGCATCTGGGATATGCAATTATATAGTGATGTTTGATTTATACACTATCTTAATATATTCATTGAAAGGCACTTTGTTGCATTAGAAAAATAAAGGGTTGGTGTCGTTTCACTTTTAGTGTTCTTTGGGGAGGAACAAAACATATCTTTAGCCTTTGCTGGCAGCTCGGCTGTTACAGGGTGTGCGCTGCAAAATTTGTAAATAAGATAATTTATGTTCAATTCAAATCTCAAAAGGTACATAAAACATCGACTGGAACAGACCAAACCCAAATCAGCCCAGGCAAGAGCTTGCCCACAGTCCAATCATAGTAACTAACCTCGGGCTATAACTTGGAATGCAGAAATTCCACAGTCTGTGGTCCTGTCTGCGCTATAAACTTTTATTGCTTTTTATGTCACGTTAACTGTCACGGCTTTCCCCTAAGAATCCTGGGAATTATAGTTTGGAGAGGATGCAGATAATTCTTCGTTAGAAATAGCAACTGTTCCCTCTCTCTGAACCACAGTTTTCAGGAGGGGGTGTGTGTGAAAAGGGAATGACTGAGACAGTTTAATTCTATGATGTGATTGTGCCTTCTGTGACATTGTAATGTAATGCCCGTAACTTTGTCTTGTGATTATTTTTTAAAAACGTTTCTTGAGACAATTTGTTTTGTGCAAATTCTTACATCAAGGGTTCCCAAATTGTGGTCTGTGGACCACCAGTGGTCTGTGAACTCAGGTGGTCCATGGCATAGCTGTGGATTTGTGGTTAAAGATGGCGACACATCCATTGCATAAAGTATTTTTATTGCTTCCTCTTTTTCTTATATTCTATTTTATTGTATTACACTTTGAGTTATTAGGAACTCAAATTGTAATACAATAAAATGCAGTACCTAAGAAATAAGAGAATCAATAAAAAACCCAATTAAAAATCATACATCACATTAAGATTGCTGCAACAGGCAGAAAAAGTGGTCTGCCGCTAAAACATAGGTTTCTGTGTTGTGTAGCAGTATAATGGGGAGCCACTCTGGAAGTGGTGGTTGTTTTTCAAAGATTTTTTCTCTATCTTATATTTGGTATAATGAAATATATTAAGAAAATAAAGCCGTTCACCAAGACCCTTAGCAACCCACCATATGTCTACTCTGAAGTAAATTGCACTGAGTTCAATGGGATTTACTCCCAAGTGTGTGTAGAATGTATTGGCCCACCGAGGAGCCTTCTATTCCCTCTTGAAAGCCATTGTAGCAATGTTAGTGTCATGCCAACTCTGGCAGCTTTGACCAACAGCACATGGAATTGCCCCCACCCAGTGGAGGACCCCAGGGCTAAAGGCAAGATTGCCCCCCAAATTCGGATTTCTGGAGTGTCTAGCCAGAGCCTCAAAACTTCTGCTTGCAGTGGGGGGACTTTGGACTCTCAAATTTCAGTGGTGCCTTGTGTGACGCTAAACCTCAGTGCTCAGTTCTACAGCATTAGTGTGGCGCCCCCTGCAACACAGCACTTAGTGTGGCTGAATCAGTTGCGTTACCCTAAAGCTGCCTCTGCTGTCTGACCTGTTGTTACGCTCTCAGCTCTATGAGTGGGGTCGCCCTACTCAAGCACTACCCCAGTGTTCTATATCCTCCACTCAGTGGGGGAGAGCTAGGACAAGCATGTTTGTTCCACCCCACATTGCTAACTCCATCACCCTCTGCAAGTTGGAAGGATGGCTCCGAAAAGGGGAGCCTGCTCTGTGTGATTTAGAACTCTGGAAAAGTAAGTCCTATAGCAAACGATAATCAGTATTTCCCCAGTGTTTCCTTTGCATTTAAATGAAGGGGCTGGAATTACATGGTGACAAGATCAAACCCATCCATTCTGAAGGAAATCAGCCCTGAGTGCTCACTGGAAGGACAGATCCTGAAAATGAGGCTCCAATACTTTGGCCACCTCATGAGAAGAGAAGACCCCCTGGAAAAGACCCTGATGACAAGGAGAAGGGGACGACGGAGGACGAGATGGTTGGACAGTGTTCTCGAAGCTACCAGCATGAGTTTGACCAAACTGTGGGAGGCAGTCGAAGACAGGAGTGCCTGGTGTGCTCTGGTCCATTGGGTCACGAAGAGTCGGACATGACTAAACAACAACAACGTAATAATTTACAGAATACAGTGGTACCTCTAGTTGCGGATGAGGTCCGTTCCGGGGTGCCATTTGCACCCCAAAAAGTTTGCAACTAGAGCGGCGCTTCTGCGCAGGCGCGGAGCATAATGAAGCGCTTCTGCGCATGTGCAAAACGTGCAGAACGCTTCTGGGTTTGCCGCATTTGCAACCCGAAAATCCGCAACATGAAGCGAACGCAACAAGAGATATGACTGTAGTTAATTACGTAAGTTATGTAAGTTACACAGTTACAGTTTTGCCATTGCAGACAGTGAGGCTGATAGTGTAGCCTTGGGCAAAAGATGAACTGCAGCAGAAAGGAGACGGTGGTACCTGCGACAAATATTGGGCAGAACGGAAAGCAATGCTTTCTTACACCCCTGACGGTTAACTCGGCACCTGAGCTTGCATGGTGACTTTAAAATAAAGCCAGCACTACTATTATTTCATGAGGGGGAAAATGTGTGGAAGAAATAAGTGTAATTTCCAGAAACTAGTTTAGCAGTTTAACTAGTAAACAAAGCCCCTGGAATGAGGGAGCGTTTACTGCTGTTAACAAGAGCTTTATCTCTCTTTTAGCTTATCTTATAAAGAAAGGGCATTTTGCTCTCATCGTCCAGTAATCAAAAAGGGGAATAATGCTTCAGATTTTAAAATAATCATACATTTGTCTTCAGGATTATCTGCCTCCCATTTCACATTTAACAAATTCCCATTTCCCCCCCCAGATAAGCACACACTCACTTTCAAATTAGAGGCTTACATCAGTAATTATATAAAATGATATGTTTATTTACACCCAAAGTCACGTTTAACTTATTTTCCGGGGTATTTTATTATTTTCTTTTTCTTTTTTTTTTCTAAGCACCTCTGTTTCATCATGCCAATCTGTGATTTACTAAGCTAGCTAGACAAACATGCTGTTAGTGTTCAAAAGACATTTTATTCATACTGGGTAATAAAATTGCCCCTTATTATTCTGATGCCTTCCATAATGCCTGCTATCAGGAAGACTAGAGATGCTTGCATGTGGCGCTGGCTCAGAAAAACCCTCTGATGTATTGTATTAGCCTATGCAAGAGCTCGTTTCAGTTGTGATAATGAGCCTTTCTTAACTAAGAATGGATGAGAAATGCAATTTATCAAGGTTTTTTATGGGGGGAGGGTGAAAATATAACTCAGAAATAAACAAACCTACGCCTTGTTTTTTGATTGAGTTATCAATTGGAGTGTATAGAATCATAATTGGAGGATGGTGAAGACCATCTACTAAGAGCATGGTGCTGATAACGCAAAGGTTGCCGGTTCAATCCCCATAAGGGGCAGCTTCATATTCCTGCACTGCAGGGATTGGACTAGGTCAGGGGTCTGCAACCTTTAAGACAAAAAGAGCCACTTGGACCCATTTCCGAAGAAAAAAAAACCTGGGAGCCGCAAAACCATTGCAACATTTAAAGCATGCGCGCCGCTGCCCTCCGATCTGACAGCGGGCGGGAAGGTGATGTCGGGAAGGGAAGGTGACGCCCCCATGCGACGTCACAGCCAGTACAGCGCCCGCCACAGTGGGGAGTGTCGGGGCGCACAATGCGCCTGCTCCCCTCGCTAGTATCCGTCCCGGAGCCACGGCAAAGGTGTAAAAGAGCCACATGCGGCTACGGAGCCACAGGTTGCAGACCCCTGGACTAGGTGATCCAACGGGTCCCTTCCAACTCTATGATTCCATGATTCTGTGAACTCAACCCTTATTAAAGAGATGGGGGATACTCTACATGGGGGAATTTAGCAAGAGGGCCAAAGGTAACTTGACTATTCTTTGTCCACAACGTTCAGACTCATGCATGCAAATGAATTGCTCATTGGTTGTAGCATGAAGCAAAAACTTTGAATCAGTCATCGCTGATTAAAAGCAGCTTTTCCATTCCCCAACATACCTAGTGCAGTCCTCATAGGTAGGGAAGCTCAGATCAGTCTATATCTGTGTCAGTTTCACCAGTGTTAATGTGCATTCATGTGCAGTTTCTTTTTTAAAAAAAATAATCAGTGTGGAAATTTGTATTAAAATGCTTGTTTTTATTCCAATGAACACATTCCTCAATGTATTTTATCCTAAGCACCATCCAATTAGCATGTTCATGAAATGCACAAGGACCCTTTTTCTGTATGCTAAAGTGGTCCACGTTGGAAGTTTGGCTCTGGATGCTTCTAGTGATCCATCTGGAGACCTGTTCTTTTTCCATGTTACTGAAAATAATCCTGATCTTTCTTACAGGTCTCATAACCACGACTTCAAGAAAACTGGATCGTGAACAGCAGGCAGAACATTTTCTGGAGGTAAGATGAGATAGGGAATGTGTTCTAAAACGGGTGTGCAGACCAGGTTTGCAGAATCTGCTTGTCCTGCAGGACCTAACCTCATGATTCTAAATGAATTTGCCTGGTGCTATCACACTCCTTTGTCTTCTTTCCCCTCATTCCTTTCCTTGTGCCATCTGATTCCCTTGGTTACTTCTGATTTAGTGACATGTTCCCATTTCCTGTTACATCCAACTTGGAGAAACTATTGTTTGCGCACAAACCATGATGGCAGACCGATTGAATTGGGTTTGCAACCCTGGTTTGAAGGCAGACTATGGCTTGTACAAACCATAGTTTGTCCAGTTTGGATGTAAATGGCAAAATATGGAGACAGCGGTGGTGGGAAGAAGAAGAGGAGGAGGAGGAGGAGTTTGGATTTGATATCCTGCTTAACATTCTCCTTTCCCTTCCTCCCCCACAACAAACACTCTGTGAGGTGAGTGAGGCTGAGAGACTTCAGAGAAGTGTGACTAGCCCAAGGTCACCCAGCAGCTGCATGTGGAGGAGCGGGGAAGCGAACCCGGTTCCTCAGATTACGAGTCCACTTCTCTTAACCACTACACCACACTGGATTGTTTACAAGGAGCGAAGGGAGCTTCTCAGCCTAGTGCTTTATATTCCATCGAAACCAACCCACTTAGTAATCATATACATCTGCCCCATTTGGGCTTGAAGGCAACATCTTTATTTATCAGTGTTGAGGAAAAGCGGCCAAATGAAATTAAATTGCCGCAGAAGCATGTCTACTAATGAGAAGTTTTCAGGCCTGATATGTGTTTTATTGGTCTGTAGGTCTTGAGCATATAACTGGAGCACAGCAGACGGAATACTTGCTGAGAATACCCCCTTCAAATAAAATGAAAAAAGGCATCTATTTTTAATTGGGGAAGGAGTTGCAGGGCAGCTAATTTATTACACTTAGGCTTTAGTCGTCTGTTCCGGATTGATTCACATGCGGCTAATGAGGAATCTGTTACCTGGTATTTCAGAATAATAGGTTGGAGATGAATACAAAATCCCACTGTTGCAGGCTGTTTGAAGATGGAATAGTCAAGGGGGATGATTTAGCACACTACTGCTCCAGGATTTTCGGGACTAGTAGAAGCCAAATTGTGGACTGGCAGGTGCAAAGATTAGAGGTCCAGATTGGCCGCCACCTCTCCCCCCAAAATGACTAGAATGCATTAAAATTTACCCATTTGACGGCATGTTTCTCAATAACAAAAATCAGACAGGCTGTTGACAGTTTGGCACTAGGTTGTCTGAAGAGGAAGAGCTCGGTTTTACGACACTTGTGAAGCGTTTTGTGAAATGTTTGGCTCCTAATGTGGTTAATTAACCTCCTGGGGGAACCTTTAATTGCCAGTATAACCATGGCCTCCCCATAGCACCACTTTTGCCTTCCGGAATTATTTTATACTCTTCCTCCCATTAAGAGTCTGATTGGCATAAAAAGAGAATAAAATTGGCTCCCCGTGAAAAGATATCTGACTGGAGATTGACCTAAAAGCTTCCGTTTTCTCGCTTGCATGGTGTGTGCATGCCTAGGAGGGGCGGAGGGAGGCGTTGATGGGGCCCCAGGAGTATGGAGGTCTTTTATTTGATTCATGAAATAAGCCTGCCCTTATTTCCTCTATATTTGACTGTGACATAATACCCTTAAAGGTCTTTCTTTAGCCTATTCAGAACAAATCAGTGTGAAGCTTGAATTGGAATGAAAGAGTTGGAACTACATAGACAAAGGAGAAGACACTGAATTTGTAGGGCGTTTTGCTGCCGCAGCATACTGAGATGAACTTTCCTTGGTGAACTTTCCGTACATTTATTTATTTGTGGCTTACCGGTGGGTGTTGATGGATTCAGATATTGGTTTAAAATCTTGTACATCTGTTCTGGTCCGAGACAGTAGTCCCATGTCAAACAAACCTTAGCAGTATCACCAAACAAGGAGATCTTCAAGGCTCCGGGGATGTCATAGTAATGTAGAGTTGGAAGGGACCCTGATGTTCAACCATCTTAACTTTTTGTTGTTTAGTCGTGTCCGACTCTTCGTGACCCCATGGACCAGAGCACGCCAGGCACTCCTGTCTTCCACTGCCTCCCGCAGTTTGGTCAAACTCATGCTGGTAGCTTCGAGAACACTGTCCAACCATCTCATCCTCTACCGTCCCCTTCTCCTTGTGCCCTCCATCTTTCCCAACATCAGGGTCTTTTCCAGGGAGTCTTCTCAGGAGGTGGCCAGAGTATTGGAGCCTCAGCTTCAGGATCTGTCCTTCCAGTGAGCACTCAGGGCTTATTTCCTTCAGAATGGATAGATTTGATCTTCTTGCAGTCCATGGGACTCTCAAGAGTCTCCTCCAGCACCATAATTCAAAAGCATCAATTCTTCGGTGATCAGCCTTCTTTATGGTCCAGGTCTCACTCCTATACATCACTACTGGGAAAACCATAGCTTTAACTATACGGACCTTTGTTGGCAAGGTAATGTCTCTGCTTTTTAAGATGCTGTCTAGGTTTGTCATTTCTTTTCTCCCAAGAAATAGGCGTCTTTTAATTCCGCGACTGCTGTCACCATCTGCAGTGATCATGAAGCCCAAGAAAGTAAAATCTCTCACTGCTTCAATTTCTTCCCCTTCTGTTTGCCAGGAGGTGATGGGACCAGTGGCCATGATCTTCGTTTTTTTGATGTTGAGCTCAAACCATATTTTGCGCTCTCCTCTTTCACCCTCATTAAAGGGTTCTTTAATTCCTCCTCGCATCCATGATTTGTGGCCATCCACCATCTGATTTAAAACCTCCAAGGAAGAAGAGTCCACCATCTTCCTGGGGAGTCCGTCCCACTTTTTTATGACCTTTGGGTGAGATTTCAATTTTCTTGGGCTTCCTCTGAACAGAGACATCGAGCAAAGTACGTTATGCCCAGCAGAGCTCTTCCACTCGATAAGGTGTCTCTCCTGAGCTCTTCCACAAGTTCAGTACCATAACATAAAATCGATACAGAGAGGTTTTAAGAAAGGTACATTTCCCCAATATCTCCTTTGCCTAGCCTACTTCAAGCAAAATTCTAGATTGCTAGTTTCAAGGCTCTTTCACGGGTCTCAATATGCTTGTGAAAAGCAATCTCATTATAGTCCCAAGTTGTCGTTGGTGATGATGTTTTTAAGGCTTCAGGGACTGGTGATTAGAAGCCCAGTGACACTCCCAAGACATGGCAGAAAAAAGAAACTGTGGCTGTGGAGGTTGAGTAACCAGACTATTGGAAGCTTCTTAGCCCAGCCAAGCACATGAGCAGAGACTTGCATTTAACACCCCCTCAGAAAACAGGGTCTGGCCCTCTGTGTTGCTCTGTTCCCGAAGCCCCTTTAATAAAAAATCCAATCAGTGATCCTCTTATTTAAATTGCCGATCTGAACACTTTTATTCCGTTCTGATAGGTACTGATTGGTACTCCGTGGGCCGCACATTCAAATCCCCCACCCATCCCGCTTCATCCCGAACTTGCAAATAAAATAGATCAAGCTTAAAAGGGACGGAGATTACATGAGCATTACATTACTTTATAACCTCCAGCAACCCCAAATGCAGTTCCTCTGATTACTCGCCAGGAAGAAAAAAATGCCTTAAATGGATGGAAGATTGGGATGGTGGGTTTAAAAAGAAGAAGAAGAAAAACATTCGGTGTAGTAAAAGAAATGACATTTAGGTGGTTATCTTCTTGTGAAACAGATAAATGAAAATAAATACCTCCTACAAAGCGAGGTGTGATTGCGGTTTTCAGGAAACCTGTATTTACTTCTTTGCAGCGCTGCGCAATCTGAGCAATTCTGTCTGAGTCTCCCTCCCTCCCGCCTTCTTGTCTCTTTTCTTCTTCTCTCGGCTGCCGCTCTTTTTCTTTTGCTCAGTCAGGTATCTGAGGGAGCTCAAAAGAGATTAATATCTTATCCCTCCCGCTCAGAGAAAGCCCCCATCATCTTTTCTTATACTGTCATTACTTCATAACAAGATGTGAGAATAAAAAATAATAAAAAGTGGGAACGACATTCCCATGCTACCTGGTTCGTTTTTGCTGTCGTTGTTTAAAAGGCGCACTGAATATTTGAGAACATTTCTGTGCATGCCACAAGAACTCTTCAGACTACATTGGTACCTCTGGTTGCGAACGGGATCCATTCCGGAGGCCCGTTCGCAACCTGAAAAGAAGGCAACCCACGTCTGCACGCGCGTGGGTTGCGATTCGCCGCTTCTGCGCATGCACATGATGTCATTTTGCGTGTCTGCGCATGCGCGAGTGGCAAAACCCGGAAGTAACTCTTTCCGGTACTTCTGGGTCGCTGCGGGATGCAACAAGAAAACGCGCAACCTGAAGCAAACGTAACATGAGGTATGGCTGTACTAAACATTGGGCCTGCCATCACAACTTTAAATCCTATAGACTCACTGTGCTCGCAAGGACTTGTGCGGGTGCAATCAATAATAATATATTCGTAATTGAAGGAGCAACGTGGTTTTATGCAGTATTTCATACTGTTGGGTTTTGTACTGCACTTATTTATCTTATATGTGAATGGCCTATGGCCCAAGCATTAATAAACCACATCTACATAATTAAAGGTTTCTCAAACATTCAGCACAAATATTTATTGGGGAAGCTGGCCATGGGGGGTACAAAATGTCGCATTCGGTTGCTTTTAGAGTGATGGCCAGAACTGCAAGTTATAAGAACCGCAGGGCTGGCACCAAAATGGCAGCCTTTTATTTCGTTCCATCCTCCAAATTTTTGTAACAGAGTAAAACTAGCTGTATGTCTTTAATGCCACCATTCTGTCCCTTTCCTTGCCCCTTTCTGCAAGATTAGCTCTTGCTTAGGTGATGACGGTATCAAGACACGAGGTGAGTTTCACAACAGATCGTGGACGGGACGGGTCAGGGCTCCAGACAAGGCTGCTGTTTTCATGGCAGCTGCATGTTGTTGTTTT